AAAACCATCTGAAACTTCATATGGAACCAAAAGAGAGCCCACATAGACAAGTCAATTCTAAGCAAAAAGAACACAGTGGGAGGCATCACACTACTGGACTTCAAACTATACTACAAGGCTACAGTAATCAAAACAGCATGGTACTGGTACCAAAACAGAGATTTAGACCAACATAGCAGAACAGAGGCCTCGGTGGCAACACAACACATCTGCAACCATCCAATCTTTAACAAACCTGACAAAAACAAGCAATGGGAAAGGATTCCCTGTTTAATAAATGGTGTTGGGAAAACTAGCTAGCCATGTGCAGAAAGCAGAAACTGGACCCCTTCCTGACACCTTACACTAAAATTAACTCCAGATGAATTAAAGACTTAAACATAAGACCTAACACCATAAAAACTCTAGAATAAAATCTAGGCAAAACCATTCAGGACATAGGCATAGGCAAGGACTTCATGAACAAAACACCAAAAGCATTGGCAACAAAAGCCAAAATCGACAAATGGGACCTAATCAAACTCCATAGCTTCTGCACAGCAAAAGAAACAGTCATTAGAGTGAATTGACAACCAACAGAATGGGGAATATTTTTGCAATCTACCCAGCTGACAAAAGGATGATATCCAGAATTTACAAAGAACTCAAACAGATTTACAGGAAAAAAACAAACAAGCCCATTCAAAAGTGGACAAAGGATATGAACAGACTGTTCACAAAAGAAGACATACATGAGGCCAACAAACATGAAAAAATGCTCATCATCCCTGGTCACTAGAGAAATGTAAATCAAAACTATATTGAAATACCATCTCACGCCAGTTAGAATGGCAATCATTAAAAAATCTGGAGACAATAGATGCTGGAGAGGATGTGGAAAAATAGGCACACTTTTACACTGTTGGTGGGAGTGTAAATTAGTTCAATTATTGTGGAATATAGTGTGGCGATTCCTCAAGGACCTAGAAATAGAAATTCTATTTGACCAAGCAATCCCATTACTGGGTATATATCCAAAGGATTATAAATCATTCTACTATAAGGACACATGCACACCAATGTTCATTGCAGCACTGTTTACAATAGCAAAGACCTGTAACCAACCCAAATGCCCATCAATAATAGACTGGCAGGGAAAATGCAGCACATGTACACCATGGAATATTATGCAGCCATCAAAAACAATGAGTTTATGTCCTTTGTAGGGACATGGATGAACCTGGAAACCATCATTCTCAGCAAACTGACAAAAGAACAGAAAATCAAACACCGTATGTTCTCACTCATAGGCAGGTGTTGAACAATGAGAACACATGGACACAGGGAGGGGAGCATCACACACTGGGGTCTGTAGGGGGGAAATAGGGGAGGGACAGCAGGGGGTGGGGAGTTGGAGAGAGATAGCACCGGGAGAAATGCCAGATATAGGTGATGGGGAGGAAGGCAGCAAATCACACTGCCATGTGTGTACCTATGCAACAATCTTGCATGTTCTTCACATGTACCTCAAAATCTAAAATGCAATTAAAAAAAAAGATGTTCTACCAGAACTTTTATTTGGTTGTTATTAAATGTATGCATTAAATTAAAACAATAAAGATATTTCTGATATTTCATCTTTTTATCTACTAGTCTGGCATGTCATTTTAAAATTATTTCTCACAATTTTCTAGAAAATATCTTTTCATAAAATTTTCATGTATTTTTTGTTACAGACATGCCAAGAATTTTGTTTTATTTCTGTTGTAATTATATCTTTTATTTTTTCATCACTTTGTAGATCACAATTTGTAAAACAGAAAAACAAGGCTTTTTTTTCACTTGTATTCAGTGCATGTACTAAATGCTTAATAAATTTAAGTGATTTTTTTTCATTTTTCTGAGTTTAACGATTATATAACTATATAATCCATTAACAATCATTTTTCTGTTTCCTATCACTACACAACTCATTTCTACTTCATATTTCATTGTATTTTTTAGAATCTTAAGATCAATGTAAAAATAATAAGTCTATTAATAAGGATCACTTATTACTTTTAATGAAATACTTCTAAAACTTTGACTTACGATAAAAATTTAAGATTGCAATCTTTTTTTTTCTTTTTCTTTTTTTTTTTTTTTTTTTTGAGACAGCGTTTCGCTCTTGTTACCCAGGCTGGAGTGCAATGGCGCGATCTCGGCTCACCGCAAGCTCCGCCTCCTGGGTTCAGGCAATTATCCTGCCTCAGGCCGATTACAGGCACGCGCCACCATGTCCAGCTAATTTTTTGTATTTTTAGTAGAGACGGTGTTTCACCATGTTGACCAGGATGGTCTCGATTTCTTGACCTCGTGATCCACCCGCCTCGGCCTCCCAAAGTGCTGGGATTACAGGCTTGAGCTACTGGCGCCCAGCCGATTGCAATCTTTATCACATTGAGTTATCTTGCTATATCCACTTTTACCAAATAAAAGTCAGCAAGAGATGTTAAATTTTATTGAAGGCCTGTGGCCTTTAATTCACATTCACACGGGTTTTGGTTGCTTTGATTGAATTTTACTCATGAGCAGTGGTGTATCAAGGGCAGAAGAAGGAGCTGTCTGGCCTGGGTACAGGCTATTGTTTAGAATTTAGAGCAACAAACATGTTTTGTCTAGGAGGAATATTTTATCTCTGAAAATTATATAGAATTGACAGTGCATGATCATAATAAAAAGCAGAGGGACTTTTATTAATTCTATTATTGTTTTAAAATGCTCTATGCAATGTATCCTTTTGTAGTTATAGCCAAGGCTGATGGCCTCCCACAATCCTGTCTCTGTTAAGACATTGCCTATCGTACCTTGTAACATAATAGACTTTCCAAATTAAGCCATCCTTATACTCCTATGAATAGATTAACTCATTCATGAGAATAGAGCCCTCATAACCCAAACACCTCTTAAAGTCCCTGCCTCTCAATACTGTCACATTCGTGTTTAAGTTTTAGAGAACACAAACATTTAAACCATGACAATATTCTAGTATCTGATAGGGTAAATGCCTTTCCTCTCCCTATCTGGAAAATTATTTTGTGTATACACTGTAGAATTTAGATTGTAGGTTTCCTGTAGAAAACTTACATTATAGTAATATAACTATATATAAACTATAAATATGCCTATATATTAAATGTTTATATTTATATTTATTTATTATATTATCTTTATGAGGTAACACTTTTGAATAGAAAACCTACAAATATATAGCGAAGTAAAAGTTTTGAATAGAAAATCTAAAAAATATATATATTTAAAAAAATTTTTTTTTTAATTTTTTATTGGATTTTAGGTTTTGGGGTACATGAGCAGAGCATGCAAGACAGTTGCGTAGGTACACACATGGCAGTGTGCTTTGCTTTCCTTCTCCCCTTCATCCACATTTGGTATTTCTCCCCAAGCTATCTCTCCTCATATATTTTAAATTTTTTACAGACGGGGTCTCATTTTGTTGCCTAGGCTCAAGTGTCTTTGCCCAATCACAGCTCACTGCAGCCTTGGACACTTAGGCTCAAGTTCTCCTCCCATCTCAGCCTCCAGGCTAGCAGTGACTGCAGGTACATGCTGCTATAACTGGTTAGTTTTTCGTTTCAAAAAACTTTTTTGTAGAGATGTGAGGATGTCTCACTATGTGTCCGAGGCTAGTCTCAAGCTCCTGGCTTCAAGTCATCCTCCTGCCTTGGTCTCCCAAAGCTCTGGGATTACAGGCACAAGCTATTGGGCCTGACAATTGGTGTATAATTTTGCAGGGTGGTGGGTGATCAGACATATCATACTTTGGTATCAGAATTGTATTTACTATATAAAGCAAATTAGATAATTATCCTTTATTAATTTTTAATATTTATTTAATTTTAAAGTGTATATTTGCTTATTCTAATCCATTAACTTGAGAACAGAATACATAGAAGAAAACTATTCCTTGAGATTTTGAAATAACTATCCATTAAAGTGTCTGAGTATTTACTTAATAACTTTTAAATTGTCTTTCAAGATTTCTTAATTAGAATTCTTACCTTTCAATAAAGAAAATAAACATTTCACTGATATTTTAAAATATTGACAAAGTTTTTTACAAATTTTGTCTGTTATTTCATCCTATTATTCCTTATTTTGTGTATCTGGGTGAGTTGTAGTACTCCTGAATTACATTTTTCAGAATTTTGTCTGCAGTTCTTTCATATTATCGGAATTTAACTTGCCATTTTTCCACTATTCTATATTTTGATTCATTGACTTACACTATTATCTTTACTGATTTCTATTTATTTAAAACTTCTCTAACTTTTGGCTTAATTAATATGTCTTTCTCCTGATAGTTGTTTAAGAAGCATTAAGGAATAAAATGGACAGTTAATGAGTAGTGGTATTATTTTCTATAACTTCTAAAATTATTTTAGATTATTCTTTGATTTAGTATTATTTAGGAGCACTTCAGTTTTGATACTTTTTTCTTTTGTCAATTTTGTTATTAATAATTTTACTATGATTGTTGAATATGATCTCTGCAATTTGTGTTTTGGGGCAAAGGAATTTTTGTGGCCTAGTTAATGGTCTTGAAATTTTGTTAAAATATTGTTTTATTAAAAATTATATTTATCTAAAGGTCGCCAATTTAAAAACTCAATTTGCAAATGAAAATGATCATTTGTCACCTTGACAAGGTTCAGATAAAATGTACCTCTTTCCAAGAATGTTCGATAGTAAATGAATTGGTGTCACATCACTTTTTATGTTTATCCTCAATATAGAAAGACCTGGGTTCAAATACCAGCTCTGCTACATGTGAACCAACCTGTGACCCTGGACAGGTGCTGTGGTTTGAATGTGTCCACCAAAAAGCATATGTTGGAATCTTAATCCCCAATGTATCAGTGTTGGGAAGTGGAGATTAGCAGGTGTTTAGGTCTTGAGGGCTCCTCCTTCATGAATTTTAAAAGAGCCTGGGTCTGCAAATTTAATCTCTTGCACTTTCTTACCTTCTCTTTGCCCTTCCACCATGGGATGACACAGCAAGACACCCCTCATCAGAAGCAGCTCCTCAATTTTAGGCTTCCCAGCCTCCAGACAATGAACCAAGTATATTTCTGTTCATTAAAAACCAGGTACAGGTATTCTGTTACAGCAAAATAAACAAATTAAGAAAACAAGTCGCTAAATTCTGATCTCTTAGTTTTCTTGTCAGTAAATGACAATAATAATACTGACTTTGAAGTGTCTTGTGTGAAAATTAAATGAATTAATGAATGTCAAGTGTAGTGTCTGCCAATAATCAGCACTAGAAAATACTGGTTCTTCCTATTTTCATTACTTCTGGGAAGAGGTTCTTTGAATTATTTGTGAGACTCTGCTGATTCCTTGCTCACTCTGTCGAGTACACTTTTTCATTCTGTTCTCCTTACTCTCAGTATAGTTAGTCACCTCTACAGTCTGTCTTGTGCATTAGCAGTGAGGGGATTTTACATCTTCCCAGCTTTTGACAGAAAGAAAAACTGCTCTTCTTATAGCAGTTATAAGCTAAAATTATATCTCCCAATTCCCTGAAACATGGATTCTTTGACTTTTCCTGAGCAAAAGTATGTGGAGAACAACCAGAGAATTTTACTGTTTGGCCATTTCACAAATTCTGTCAAGAGCACAACAGGTCTCCTCAGTGTACACATCTATTAAGCTTGTAGCTTACTATAGAGATGATTTGTTTGCTCTAGTGATTTTTCACATTGAAAATCTACACAAAACATTGAGTTATTGCTAAAGCTTCTCATTAACTTACATTTTGAGCTATGATATAGAAATACGACTTGCCGGTCAATAAATAAATAACAACATCATTTCAAAAACAACCGAGTGATTGTGGAATATGGAATACTTTAGTTGGTTGTTTGGAACATGTATATTTTAGCTCAAATCTGAGTACATAGTAGTTACTTAGCATTAATTCTTGATTTTTTAATTTCAGTTTGCAGAAGAAACAGAAAAGCTTCTCTATGAGTTTTAGAAAAAGTACAGTCATTACATTCTTTATTTTTGCATAACCCCACATTACTAGATTTCCTTTTGCCAAAATACTTACGTTTCAATTGCCTTTAAAAAGCCCTAATTTTTTTCTGTATTCAGAAAGTATTCACCTATCCATTAACATAAGATCATTGCCATTTGTTTGCAGAGATATTCCTGTTAATAATATTTCAATGTAAACATGCCAGTTAGCAGAAAAGGTCAATATATGACAATAGTTCTTTTGGCAAAGAACGTAGCCCGAATCTGAAGAGCAAATAATATAAGACCGCATCATTCTCAGCAAACTGACACAAGAACAGAAAATGAAATACTGCATAGTCTCACTCATAGGTGGGTGATGAACAATGAGAACACATGGACACAGGGAGGGGAGCACTACACACTGGGGTCTATTGGGGGGAATAGGGGAGGGACAGCGGGAGGGGGAGCTGGGGAGGGTTAGCATGGGGAGAAATGCCAGATGTGGCTGAAGGGGAGGAAGACAGCAAATCACACTGCCACGTGTGTACCTCTGCAACTATCTTGCATGTTCTGCACATGTACCCCAAAACCTAAAATGCAATTTAAAAAAAAGACCGCTTAAGTAATCTTTGTGAGATTACAAAATATGGATGAAGTTTGTAAGTTAGTGAATACACAGATCATAGAGATACCATACTTAAGTAACTATTGAATAGCTCTCATAAAATACTCCTTCCAACATTGTCTGAATTTTCACATGTTGCATGTCACATAGTAATCACTACCATTTGTATTGTGTGTTTCATGGAATAATGTAAGACTTCATACTAATGACTTTATTTATATTAGATAATATGCTTGTCATAGTAATTCTATGAGCTGTTATATTATCTTTATTGTTAACTTTAAAAATTACATTCACAGGGCTTGTTAATGTTATAACCAGTTTTCAGATATAGTTGATCTTTCTCTCATGTGTGGATGGATCTCAAAATTTCCAACACACTTTCCCTAGTGCTACAACACTGAAACTACTTTTTAACAAACACTGACCTGATACCAAGAATGGGATTGCAACTAGAAGGAGCCACAGTATGGGACTTCAGGCCAGTAATCCAGTAATAGGCAGAAAGGACACAGGTATTACAGGTTGGAAAGCTGGTGGACAACAGCTATTACATGGAAAAAATATTTGTAAACCTGTTTCTGGTAAGTTCTTGTAAACAGATTACATACTAATCAAGGAGTAGCATTAGGGAAAATGGGTAGGACATTTTAAAATGTTAATATAATTGGCTCACATAAGAGAGATGTATGTGAATTAAATCCATCAAGTTTGCTCTGGTTAAGGAAGTTCTTTCTGCTTCAGACAAGAAATTTATGTTGACTGGGATTCTGAAAATTTGACAATACATGGGGTTGAAAAAGTTACTTGGGGAATTCTGAGAATACAGTGATATCATGGTTTTTAATCTCTGCAAGTTCCTACCCTCTATAAACACAGAATATGAAAAATAATTTTAATAAAAGAACCTCACGATTACCAATTACATCAAAACTAGGTAATGTAACATCACTAGGACTCCCCCAAATAAAAGTGCATGGCAACAAATCAGCTAGAAGACCTGTCTTGTATATGCATGTATGTAGCAAGTAATGGAGAGAAGCAACAGAATGTCTGATAGACCCTGACAGGAAACTCAAATTGCCAACAGCTACTCTGCAAAGTGTGACAAGCTAATTTAAGAATAGCAGCAGAAACTTGTAGGAGTTTTTGAAGGATCAGATTTGTGATTGAGTACAGTGTTTACCAGACTTTCTGAAATTTGGACAATTCTGCTCTATGAACTCTCAAAATAATCAGCCAAATTTCCCTCTAGGAAAATTCCCTAATCAGATGATTCTTTTGGGAGTAGAATCCAGCTTTATCAAAACAGGCATCATAGGGGCAAATACATTGAAATGGTCCAAATAAACCTATGGGAAAGGAAGATAGCCAGGAAATCTCAAAAAGTAAGAAGCCGTGCTTTTGACACTTCATGAAATTCACTGAAGAGTATAATAAAACTTTTTGTTCTCTTAAAAAAGCAATACTGGCATGTCTCTTACCTCCAAAAGTATTAGAAATATGATTTCCTGGAAATTTAGTGAAAGAATTATAATCAAATCCCATACAATGTTACTATTAAAAAATAAGACAATGAAAAGAGAATTATATTCCTACAGAATAAAGAAGTTTTCTTACCAATATATTCAATCAGTTAGGTCTTGCAGATTTATTCAGACTCTGATTCCTGTTAATAAAACACACACATGCATTTTGAGGTCAGGGATAAAAGATAAACTGTCACCATTAAAGAAGATAATAACTGAATTAGAAAGAGTCAGAAATGAGATCATAGAACTCAGCAAAATATTAGAAAACAAATTTTTCAGAAATGAAGTCTAAACTGGAAGGACCACAGAACAGAGAAACACAATAGACAGAGAAATAGAAAAAAAGGAAGAATATTTAAAAATCAAAAAGAAAGAAAAATCTTAAAGGATTCCAGGAAAAAAATGTTAAAATATATGCAGAATAGGAGCCCCCAAAAAGGAAAATCAGAACAATGAAATGGAAACAAGATTAAAAGTGAAAATTCAAAAACTTCCCTGAAATAAAATACAGTTGAAACTATATGCTAAAATGATACTACTTAGCTAGGAAAAGTCAACTCAAAATGACAAATTCTAGGCATATTCTCGTAAAATTACTGATCCTACAAAATTAAAGGAAGAAAAAGAAATAAAGACAAAAAGGGGAGATTTCCAAAAGAGATCAAGCCACTTATGGAGGAAACAAAAACAGATTTTGAGCATATTTCTCAACAGTAATACTTTATGCCAAATGACCATAGTATAAAATACATTTAGCTACATTGGAAAAGAAATTAAAATTGGAGATCTATTTTATATCCAGCATAATTAACTGTCAGATATAGAGGCCACAGAAATATGGTTTCAAATATCATTCATGTTCCCATGACCCTCTATGGAGAAAGCTACTATGAAATTGTCTTCCAACAACCAAAAGTGCAAGAGAACCATCAGCTTAAGGACTTTTGATAAGCATTAAAAATGTTTACATGTAAAGCAGACAGTATAACATATAATAGCTGTATATTCTGACAATGTAAATATAGGACAATTACCAAAAATAATGGGAGAATGCAGATAAAAAGTATAAAAGATTACTAGACATAAGTGGATATTACTTTAAATCATATGTCTTAAGACAGGGAAGAAAAATGATAAAATTAGTAGCTAATGTCAATACTGCTTATCCTAGGAAACCAACATGCAATAACTAAAAAAGAAAAAGGGCATTGAAGAGAAAAATAGGGCTTTAACATAACACTATTGTATACAATTACCCATTAGAATAAATATGGATTTATATATATCTATATAAATGGATTAATATATCTATTTAAAGGAGAGGAGGAAAAAAGACCATTTAATGACACACTATTCATAAAAAAAATTGTAAAACTATTAATGTAACATTAAAATGTGATTAGATGAAATATATAAACATGTACATATTCTGAAATTTTCCTTTGATTTATAAGATAAATATGCATATTATACATATTTATTATATGTATCTATATATATAGTATAAGAAAAAGCAAATTTGTAGATTGGCTGACAAAAAATTTCATACAACTTAAAGGAAGTAATTCAGAAGAATGTTTTTATTTTTATTTTAAGGACTGATGAAAACTTTCTGGACAAATGAGAATAAAACACAGCAGGGTTACAACCTTGACATCTGAGAAGATAGAATTTAGAACAAATGCACTGAAAGAAACAAAGGATACTACTGAATGTCAAAGACTACAATTCAAATAATTTTTATTAATACCTATACATCCAATGCCACAGCTAGCTTTTATAAAGCAGAAATTATAGAAGATGTAAGGAAAAATAGAAATACAGCAAAAAAGAAGTTCAATGGATGGAACTAAATCCTACAATGGAGTAAAACGTACTACTAAGTCTGTAGTTTTAAAAGTATGGTATTAGCAAAGACAGAGGAACAGAAGAGAAAATGTAGAATTAGGCCCATTTATATATTCACCTAGTATACAATAAAGGCAACATTTCAAATTAGTGGAAAAAATATATATATTTTTTAATGTGGTGGCAAAATTTATACTTGGGTAAATTCTAAGTGAATCAGAGATTCTATTGAAGAAATGAAGCCATACAAATAATAGGAGGAAACTTGGGTAAATTTCTCTCTATGCCTAGTCTGAACAAATATTTCATAGACCAAATCTAGAGATAGTAAGGAAAAGTACATTTGCTTACATAAATTTTTTTAAAAATATATGACAAAGGAAAATAAGCAAACAACAATAATATATTTAGGAAAATATTGCAACTTATATCACATACAAAGCCTCAATATCATACTACATAATAAGCTTCTAAACATATAAAGAAAAGCACCAACCACTCTACAGAAAACTGAGCTAAGGAAATAAACCAACAGTTCATACTGAAAGAAATATAACTGTCTCTAAATCATATAACAATATTCTTAACCTTGCTCAAAAAAAAGTCGATTAAAACTACACTGATACCATTTTTCATATATCATTCTGGTAAATAACCACAACTTTGACAACAAATTCTCTTGAAAAGGCTATAGGAAACTAGCTCTCTCATATATTGCTGATGGGAAAGCAGAAGGATACATAACCACACGGAGGGAAATTTGGTGATTGCTGTGAAAATTGCATGTGCACTTACCCTTTGACCCAGAAATTTTACTTCTGGGAATTTATCTCAAAAATACACTGGTAATTTTCAAAAAGAGATCTGCACAAAATCGTATGCACCATATAAACATACAGTTACCATGAGGCTATTTGTAAAAGCTAAAAACTCCAAACATATTAAATGTCCATCAACAGAGAATGATTGAATAAACTCATGTATAATCACATAGTGGAAAATCATGTAGCTGTGAAAAAGAATTAGAAATATTTATATACTTTTATGAAGTTATGTCTACAATATATTGCTAAGTAAAAAAGCATGCCAGCACTTAAACACTTATCTAACAAAGGAAGATGTACATATGTTTAGATAAGGAAGATATATATATCTTCCTTTGTTAGGAAGGAAGAAACAGGTATGTGTGTGTGTGTGTGTATAAAGGAAGGAAGATATATATACACACAGATGTAGTGTCTTTGTGTATATATATACACACAATTTCATGTGTGTGCATGCTTAGAGTTATATTTAATAAAAGCAAAAAATTAAAGAATTAACAAAATTCAGAAATAACTTGTTATCTTTATGGTGGAGTGATGGCACAGGATAAAAATAGAAGAGCTAGATTTCTGGGAATATGTTTTGTTTATAATCTTTGCTAAAGTACTCATACGTATATTCAATTTAAATCTATTTAGAGTTGTTGCTTTAATGCCTTGGTAGCAAAGACTCTGCATCCTTTGAACTACAACATTCTGGTCGATCAATTCTCTTTAGGTGGTAACATGAATGGTGGTATCGTCATTTAAAAGTACATTTGTAGAAGGGTCATCTGTGATGATTTTAGAATGAACCCCCAAAACTCATTCATAGAATCTGATTATGGTCTAATATCTTTAGCAAATGGTGCACCAGCACTATGGAAAGAAACAGAAGATTTAAGGATTTTCCAGAGTCCTAAGATTTTCTTGAAGGACTAAGGAAGTTACATGTAGGTAGGGAGGTATGGTGTGGAACTAATTGAGTGAGGCTCTAGGCCTGGTTCAAACTTCAGACAGACTACTTCCACCTCATGGTGTATTTTGGTTTTCTATGTAAAATTTCCTTTATAGAACAGGATCTGAAGCCCATAAAACAGTTTGACAACCATTGAATTAGAAAAGAACTTAGAATTATCTCTCATATACTAAATCTATACAAGATTATATATTTTTGTTATTACTTACATGTGGATTACAACAAAACACACATATAACTCAAGTTTTTAAAAAGGAAAAATTGAAGAATTTTAAGATGAATGAAAGGAGAATATATGTTTATATCAAATGTCAGTAGTTATTCTTGAAAATAAAATTGGCTCTAATCTTTCTAGAAGTCAAAATAAAACAAGTTGCATATCTCTTATTTTCAGAAAGGAAGAAAACAATTCAGCAAGGGGTACAAAGTAATTTCTGGTACAATATTTGGAAAAATATTTCTGGAAAAATATGTGGAATATAAGTGACTTTATCAGTTAGAATTCCTTCAGTTGCAAATCATGGAAAATCTATTCAAACCAGCTTAAACAATAAGGCTAACCTCGAAAAAAGAGAAAGACCATTTCCAGAAGCCTAGAAAACTTCTTTTAATGTCTTCAATGTCTTCACCCAAATTGGGATACTTAGACCCATAAGGATACTTAGACCAATAAGTTTCAAGAAGAGGAGGTGGAGTCAGCTACCCCAATATTTGTGGACTCCATGGAGTAGAGCTGAATACTGTAACACAACTGACTTCTGTTAAAAAAAAAAAATTAAAAATAAATTGGCCTGCCCTGGTGGCTCAGGCCTGTAATCCCAGCACTTTGTAAGGCTGAGGCGGGCAGATCACCTGAGAACAAGAGTTCGAGATTACTTTGGCCAACAAGGTGAAACCCCGTCTCTACTGAAAATACAAAATTAGCCAGGCATACTGACGCACATCTGTAGTCCTAGCTACTCAGGAGGCTGAGGCATGAGAATCACTTGAACCCAGGAGGCAGAGGTTGCAGTGAGCCAACATTGCCCCATTACACTCCAGTCTGGGTGACAAGAGTGAAAGTCTGTCTCAAAAAAAAAAAAAAAAACTTAATTAATTTAAAAAAGAGGACAGAGGGATGGCAAACTCTAATGACCATTACTATGAGTTAATGGAAAATGTCTTTATCATCTACTTTACTACAGTTACCAAGTGGATTTTATGCCACCATTTCTCATTCATCTTTGTTAGAAGTCAGGGCCTCATAAGAAAGACATCTCAGCCTGGTTAATGTGACGCAAATATGTAGCCTGGTAATTTAACTTTATCCAAGTGAGATGGAACTGGGAATGCCTACATGAATACATTGAAACCACTTCCCTTTGACTAAAGTTTTCTAACACAAATTAAATGGCAGACCATTAAACTTGGAATTCTGTAAGATAGATTCAAGAAGTTAGGAAGCAAAAGATGGGAAAGGCAGAGGGAGCCACTGCACTGCAATAGCCAACAAAAAAGAGAACAGGCT